TGACCAGAACCTTCACAGAGCCCAGAAGCTCTGCTGGCATCCTGCACCCCCTGTGATGGTGTCACCCAGTGCAGCCCGCACCCCCCTAGGGATGCCACTGGATAGAAACAAGATACATATCTTGATGCCACTCTCATAAACTGTTTTGCTTGTTGTTTTTATGAATGGCTGACACATACACAAACCAAGTGTTTGTTCTGTCATTCTAAGCAAGCCATTTTCCTAAACATGCTGTAGTCAGAGCCATTGAGAGACCTGCCTCCTTCTTCCAAGAACTTTGAAAGCTTCTAGGTAATAGAAACACACAGCTTTAATGCATTCTCTCTAACTTACTCAGCAAAGATCATAAAAAAGCAAAACTTGGGTTTATGAAAAAAAATTGGTGCCAAGGACACTCATAGAGCCATAATTCATAATGCATGTTAGTACATGAAAGCTGACATGGAAGAATCCAAGTATGCTGCCAGTTGACTAGTGGTTACAAGATCAAGTTCAAATAAAACTTCTCCAGTCTTCTCAAATATGGGATTTAATGTACTTACTAACTTTTTTGGTACATTACTTGGCAGTTTGGAACCCAGGCTCAAGGGCGTTACTAAACTTGTGCAATGGAATGCAACTTACATGGATTGCCATCTATGAATGGGAGCAATATAGCAGATATGGAGTGCCGTCGTCTTTGAATAAGGGGAGCGTGGCTGTCATTGGGTACTGTCTTTGAATGGCTGACAGGAGATTCTGCCATTGAATGGGAGAGACATGGCCAACACAGGGGTATGGTTTGTAAATAGAGAGGGGCATGGCTGACAGAAGGTCCTGTTTTTTATTTGGAATCCTGGAGGAACTACCAGCACACTGCTAATTACCCTTTTAAGCAAACTTTGCAAAAAATAGGGATTTTTAGTTCACACATATTGCAATACATGTTAAAACTGGCCAGCTGCGTCAAAGTTATCCCTCTATGGTCAGTCCTACTCTGCTCTGCCAACACAAATGCTATTGTGCACACAATGCCAACCTGGGCAAACAGACACAATGTGGGTTAGAGCTACTAGGTTTAGGTCTGGCTACTGACCTACTATCCAACAGAAACAAGATATACCTGTGCTCAAATCCCAACAGCATTTACATGCATTTATCTATCAGGTGCTAAAGGGGTGTAGCCACATATTAACACTAGAAATGCATGTACAAGCTATTGGGATTTGATCACAGGTATATCTTGTTTCTGTTGCATAGTAGGTCAACAGACAATGCCAGGTTACAATGCCAGGTTGGCATTGCGTGCACAGTAGTATTTGCGTAGGCAGATAAGAGTAGGACTGGCATAGAGGGATTACTTTGATGCAGTTGTCCAGCTTAAACATGTATTGCAATATGTGTGAACTAAAAATCCCTAGTTTTTGCAACATTTGCTGGAAAAGGTAATTAGCAATGTGCAGAGGGTTCCTCTGGGATTTTTAGTGTTAACATGTGGCTATACCCCCCTTTTAGCACCTAATAGATAAATGCATGTACAAGCTATTGGGATTTGAGCACAGATATATCTTGTTTCTTTGACTTGGAGGCACATAGCTGACATGGGGGGTACTGTTTCTGAATAGAAAGGGAAAAGGTTGACAGAAGGTTCTGTCTGTGAATGGGGGGGGGGGGGGGGACATAGCTGACACTGAACACAATTTGTCTTTGAATGGAGAGGGGTATGGCTGACCGGAGGTTCTGTCTCTGAATGGGAAAACATGGCTGAGATAGGGCTACTGTCTGTAAACAGAGAGGGGTATAGCTGACAGAAGATTCTATTTGTGAATGGAGGAACATACATGATATGGGGATTTTGTTATTTGAACAGGAGGAACATGGGTGATCTGGAGTGCTGTATGTGAATAGAGGAGACATGGCTGGCATAAACTGTTGTCTGTGAATAGATGGATATGGCTGAGATGGGGTGCTCTCTGTGAATTGGTGGACATGACTGACATGAGTTTCTCCTCATGAATGGAATGACATAGCTCACATGGGATGCTTTCTATGAATAGGAAAGACATGGCTCATATGGAATGCTGTCTGTGAATGAGAAGATCTTTGCTAACATTAGGTGCTCCCTGTGAATGGGAGGGATGTGTCCGACAAGGGATGCTGTATGTAAACAGAAGAGATCTGCATGATGTGCTGTCTGTGAATACAAGGCACAAAGTTGATATAAGAGCCTTATTTGCGAATGTGGGCAGCATGGCTAACATAGGATGCTGACTGTGAAAGAAGGATGAGGGCATGGTTCCCATGTGAAAAGTCCGTTGTTCAGTCAGAACCACATTTTGGCCATGCCCACATTTTTCCACATGCTGTCAATAGCTTTTTTTTTTATCTCAGGTTCATTAGAATCCTATTAACATCCCCAGTGAAGATTTAAGCATATTTATTTACAATGTCAAAAAATATCACAGGTAACCCCACTCATGTATGAAACAGTATACCAATCAATCTGTTGGTACACTTTAATATATGCCAAAAAAATGAAAGATAGGACTTTATTGGCTGATATGAAGAAAACCTAATTTTCCTTTTTTTGCATAAATACTTTCTAATATTTCTACTGGAATACCTCTATCTTCACCCCTAAAAATAAAGTGCAGTTGTGCCACTGGTGCAGTAGAGTGGGCAAAGGGAACTCTGATTCAAGGACATTTACCCCCTCTCCCCGCTATATCCATGTCAGTAGATGCTGTTTGAAAGATTACTTTATTGTTTGAGGCATTTTTGTGTATCAAGTATTCGTAACAGTAACATGAGGGTATCACATTTTAACACTTAGGCATAGAAGAGTTTATTTTTACTTCTGTCCAGTGTGAGGGATGTATTACCACTTGTGCTACTACAGGAAACCCTTGGTGAACATGAGAGTTAATATCTAATAATTCTCATTAATACCAAGACACATGACATAAAGAAGTTAAGGAACATAGATATCTTAGCAATCAGATGGTTAGTATGGGTTTTGTGCACTTTGCACTGAGGCTGCATGCACATTCGAGAGTTTTGTAGCTTGAAGCTCGAATCTCCAAAAAAGCTCAAACTTAAAAAATTAATTGTTCTCTATGGTGCCTGCTCGTGCGATCAGATGTGAACAGGCACCAGGGGCGGACTGACAACTCATGGGGCCCCCGGGCAATAGGGGATCATGGGGCCCCTGTGTCCTTGCCCAAACTAAAAAAAGCTTATGAAAAAGGTACCAGGGGCATCTCATGGGGCCCCCTACTGACCCCGGGCCCTTGGGCAGTGCCCAAGTTTCCAAATGGTCAGTCCGCCCCTGATAGGCATCATAGAGAACAATTGATTTTTTAAGTTTGCGCTTTTTTGGAGCTTTGAGCTTCAAGCTACAAAACGCTCAAGTGTGAATGCAGCCTTAGTACTTTGCTCTTTGCACTTTTTAACTGAACATGCCAGTTTGTCTTTGTACCATCACACTAGCATAAAGAAAGTTACAGCATTTTCAGCAATAAGAGTAACTAGATGAAGGTGGGTAGGATGTTGGATCACTTGGCCACCAAAGACCTCTGATTTTTTCATCCACACTAGCTGAAGTTCATTATGAAAGCAATGTTTATGGAATAGCTGCAACTGAATGAAAAATGGCAAAACACAATATGCAATGTAAAGTATCCCGTTGCATCTTACAAATAAATACTTGTAAAAGTAATTAATCTACACCTGAGTAGATTTTGATAATCGTTCTTTCTGCGGTTTTTGAACGCATTGAAGAATAAAAAAGTACAGTACATGTTTATAGATACAGCACAACCCAGTAGGATATGAACAAATTTGCTTTTAATCAATTCACAAAGTACATCAAATTTCCCATGTGTCATCACATAGTATGTGTATAAAAATCTTCAATACCCGACAAAAATATAACTTAAAAATATTAAATTAAAAATACTTACAAATAAATTTGTAAAAACTTTAAATATCTGGAGTGTGTGTATATAATATTTACATCTGAAATATTTTTTACAATCTCCCCCTTTACCAGAAAATGTGATATAAGGATACAGAAAACTTACATACAGTGCTTTGCTGAGTTTCCTTCTTATTGCCTGCCTTTGGCTCTGTGGCTATTGTGGAAATAAATGTCCATCTGCTGTTGCCCTTTTCCATGATGGAAACGCCATAAGAACACTTGTAAATTATTCATTTTGAGAGGAGGTTTCCTGTAATGCTCACCCTTCAGACTATTATATGGTTAAATGATATTTATTGGATTTCAGATGCTTTAATGGGTAGCTATAAAATATTAGTCTGGTAAAATACTTAAATCCAAAATGTGCCACTGGAGACCTATACACTGAACATCTGTTGTTGTGCAAGTATTTTTCTTCTAATATCTAGTGCAAAGGAAAAAATACTCGTCACCTGTGACCTTACTACAAGAGGTAGAAAAGGAGGAAGTATTTTGTTTGGAATGGGGATCTAAGCTTTACGTAAACATCTTCCTCCCTCCTCAGCAAGCCTAAGAAACACTGGGACATGCAAGTGCAATTGTTCCCTTATCATTCCACCTGCATCCGGTAAGCACACTACCATCCACAAGAACTGCAAAGCATAACATTGACGTCACGCTAAATATAACTTTATAATATTATTCTTGGCACACAGAGATACACAGTAGCTTTAAAGCACATTACATTATTACTGTTGGAAAGCATACTCCTGGCATAGTAGTTTCACTTTGTGTAAGGAGAGGGTAAAGTTTTGCTAACGTGGAAATCAGTGCACAAATCTTAGTTCCTTCTATTAAAAGCAGGTGGATCACTACACAATTGTGGCCTCTTCAGGTTCTGTTTTAGCTCACCAGCTGACAACCCAGAAACCATCTCCAAGGCTTGCTGTTGGTTTTGCTCCACAGGACACCATAAAGTCCACAAATTCAGCTCTATGTAATATCAATTTCCATGTTAAGTCTTCTTTGAATCATGGAGTAAGTTTGGAAAGTCGACCAGTATCTATGTGGTCTGTAAAATGTTATTTGAATCAGTCCTGTCTTTACTGTAAACCAAGGATCGGCGGCGCCTTCTACCATATCCTAATGGATCCTTGGTGTCTCTGTTGGAGCCATCTTTGTAGTTGTTCTTTCCAAGGCGATACAGCATGTTGGCTAAATTCTGGATCTGACAAGTGCCTAAGTGACAGCCACGGGCATTGACTGATGGAGCATACCGTTTCTCTCTATGGTAGCTGAAAAATAAAGGTCCATATACTTTAAACTCAGTCCAACTAATACAGTATAACAGTGGTGTCTATTTTTTGTGTTTATTACTACACGATGCTCTCTTGCACATATCGACTGCTGTAATACTGTTTACACTCCTTTCCTGTACATACTGTTACCTTCATACACCCAACACTCCTTACCTCCACATACTGCCTGTACTGTCATTCCCTCCACACCCCTCTCTTGCATATATTGTCTACTGTCATACTGTTCACATTCCTCTCCTGTACATATTGTCACTATCAATTCTTCTGCACTCCTCTACTGCACATTTTGCTACCTTTTTACCCCTGAACCCCTCTCCTGCATACGAGGAGAAATACTATATCTTCTCGTATACCATTTACCGTCATACCCTCAGCACTAATGTCCTGCATGAACTACCAGTTAAAAAAAGATTTTCAGCATCATTCATAATACCCCCAATCTTGCACTAGTTTTATAAATGCATGTGTGAGTAAACATTTGTGATTACCTTAGCATGTTCTGGCTGTTATCTTTGAAGTTCTCTGCATTTGAATTATATTTAGACTCTTCCATAGCATGATTGTCAGCATTTCCCTCATCTCTGATAAGTCTCTGCTTTGAAAGGCCCCCTAACTTTTCCAAGAAGGACACCACAGGAGGGGGCATATGTCTGTAAAAGAGATACATATTTATTAGTTGTAATCATGATATATCTTTATAGGCAGAGTTGAGTTTTAATGTTTAATGTTATATACAGTATGTGGGTAACTTGCCAGCTTGTTTTTGCTATCTTTTATGTAGAAAGATTACATAATTGGCCACCTCCACCTAGCAATGTTAGATGTTCTTCTGTTCTAAGTCACTGCCATTGACTAATAACCTAACACAAGAACAAACGGGGAGATGGATTCGGGTTCTCTACGAGTGACTGGGCACATTGACTGTGGTTTGCCAGCACTTCATAAAATGGGTACTCGTTTGAGGAAGGACCCAAGGTTAAGAATCCACATACATGTAATCCAATGAAAGTGCCAAACATGCAAGAGTCTAAGGTTTTCAATGATATAGAAAAACATATTCATTGCATCTTGGGGGCCCCAAACAGAGTCCCCCTTAATAATGAATTTTGACTGTGTACTAAGGTAAGCAGATACCAAACAAATGTTTGCTGCATTCACTAACACTTGCTTAACCTACCCTCCTGAAACTGTCCAAAGCAGTAAATCACAATGACTATCTATTTGTTATCTGCTTACCTGAGTACATGTAAGCACAGTCAAAATTCCTAAGCCTTGATGAAGGGAAAGTATGCAGAAATACATTGGATTTTTTCGCTATGTTTTATCATTTTGGACATTTGTTTAGTGTTCTCAGTGGTATGCATATATATTAACACGTTTGTGGTGCTTTCCATTTTGCTTGAGTGGGATTACCACCCACTGATCTCTATATGTCAGGTAAACTTTGCCATGGGTGCAAACCGAAGCATCATGACCACGGCATGTAAACACCCTGTCTGCTGCCTATCGCAGCTTAAGGGGGAGCAGATGGTGGGTGCATTTATGCCACCCCCCAACTGCATGTCTATTTGAAGCATAACAAGTGAGAGGAAACATGAAAATATGGATACTGCATCAATTGACATTTATATTGACAGTTTAAAGAAATGGTTGTGAAAACCAGTTGCTGCAAGTGCAAACCCCTTGACTGAGAAAACTAATACAGTTTGGTGAAATTTTAAAATTCATATTTTGAATATTTCTCTTTAAAAGCATTCCCATTAAAAGATCTTTGTAGTCCGGCTGTAAGGCTGTATGTTTACCTGTCTTTGTGGTCCATCCAAAAGGAGTTGCAGACACAGAAGGTCATCACAAGGAAAAATAACACAAGACAATCACGTCGAGCCATGAGTGCTAGAAAGGAAAAAGCATATTGTCATTATTAGACAAGTCTTACAATGTCCAGCCAACTTCCTTCATCTGGTCTATATTTGTATTGTTTTGAAAAGACTTATGGGAAATCTCATTTGTTTGTGGAACAGCTTGGCTGCTTGACAAAATGAACCAAGAACAGGGTGACCAAGAAAGGCCTTAAATGCATTATACTCCCCCCTAGCCTTGTCCCACAGAGTGTATAAAGTTCTCCATGACAAAGCCAGGACAAATTCTGTTGAAATTGGTAATCAGCATTTCAATGGCTTGTTATGTGAGTAATGACAAACACCCATCCAACATTGCCTTTAAAATAATATTAGCACATTTGTGGCCCTTCATTGAACAGTCTAAATATGAATGGGTGCATTACTGCAGTGGTGAAGAACACAGAAGTATGTATTGGTGTAGTGGCCGCGAGTTTTGAGGCATGTGTTGGTGCAGTAGCGAGTGAAGTCAGAACATGTGGGAGAGGTGCTGAGAGATGAAGGAGAGGATGGAGATCAGGTATACTGGTGAGAGTTGGAGTTGGTATATAGGTGTGATGCAGGGGCAAAAAATGGGGTACAGCTGCAGTAGTGAGAGCTTGGGCGACTGCACAAAGAAGCAGTGATGGGTAGGTTTCAGGCATGGTGGTGAAAAGGGGAGTTCAGGCACACTGAGATACCTGATACTGAGATAAAGGTACCTAATGCAAAAGGATAAGAATATAGTTCCTCTATCAGGCCCTATTTGGTCCATCTTGATGCTGTAGACCATTCAGTAGTTGGCATAAGTGATATGCTTGGTAACTATCTAGGGGCCTGTTTCAACAGGCTTTTGTTCGCTTCCAACAAGTTTTGCCTTTTCATACATGCCTATGGGAATACAAAACCCACTTGAACAGGTGAAATGCAGTTCGGAAGGAGGTCAGCTGTGTACCTATCAGTGAATTCTAATTGAACTCAAAGCATCTCAAACAGATGTCCAAATGAAATCATCAACATAAGACCAAAGCCCACCAACACAGGCCCTTAGGATGCTAGAAACTGCTAGACCTTCTGATCGTGAGCAGTATGACAACTTTGTATGATGTCCTTGCTGGGCATTTGTGAGTTCAATAGAATGTCATTATATCTCTTTGAACAGCGTTAATATTTGTGAGCTTGTAATTTTTACACTTTATAACTGTATAGCATGGATTACTATACATTACAGATTTTATGCTATATTATCATATGACTGTATATTGATTATCTTTAACATCACAAAAATATATAAATATTCATGCACAGGTTGTGGAATAATATATCTGGGAGATTTGTGCTGTGTTATATTAAGTTTAGACTTCTGAACAATGCAATAAAGAGGCTTTCTAGTGATTTGACTATTTTCTCATAGTTTTATATACTAACTTATATTGAAATGAAGGTCTTCCAATCATTAGCTAATATTGGTATTTAGACTACCACACAATTATCTTACTAAATATAATCAGTTTAGACTATTAATGTAGTTTAACACGTATTAGAGATGATATATACCCCTCTGCTATATTAATACACAGCTTAAAATAGAAAATTGCTGCCTAAGCTATGCACTAAACCACAGTATGTAGACTTTGGCTTACTACTACCAAAATTGACCTTATCCAACCTTCTTAAAATGTATTTTACACCTTTTGGATTCCTTGAATGCTCAAAAAAAGTCTACAATTTCAAACAGAACCAGCTGATGCACAGAGACATGATGCCTGTTAAATGTGTGTGGCTGGACTATAAATGTAATATTTTACTAATCTGAAATTAATTTTTACATTTGCATAAAATTCTAACTAAAGAAATCATATTGTATCTTTCTACAGTATTGGGGCATGTTATATTAGTGATTAAGAGGAGGTGTTGCCTGTATTCAATCAGTTTTATTTTATATTTTATTTTTCCTTTACAAGTAATTTAAGACTGTTTTTATACCTCTCCCTTACTCCAATGAACACATGTACTATTGCAGTTCTCCATTCATATATAGTATATTCTAGCACTTTGTAAAGCACCAAGGAGCCCTGCTGTGAACTGTAAGGATTATATTGCCTTGAGACAGGCTCAGGCTGTATATCAAAGCACACTGCAACCCCTATATTATATTGCATCAGCAAAGAAGCCAACATAATTTGCAAGTCCATGCCCGCCAAAGTGAGTTTAGAAATTACTTGTAGTGTGTGTCTGCATCTTAATAACTTTAATGGGTAAAATGTATCTTTTGATGTACTATTACTTAAAATTAAATCAGCACAATAACTTATAAATAATATATGTAATGGCAAAATGGAACATTTTAAAATACTTGTTAAAATCAGATTTCATTATATAACCATTTTAAAATGAATGAAATTAACTGTATGTATATTTCTAACCAAAAAATAGTTATAATTGTATAACATCAGGATTACATTTTTAAAATGTATTAATGCTCTTTAAAAAAAATATTTAATTTGATATAAGTGATATATAAATGCTACAGCTATACAGAAGACATTCTAAAAGGTTTAGCATGTAGGGAGAAGGTAAAAGATTCAGCTTACCTTTATCACTAAAGTGTGTGTCCTCAGATGTTCTGTGTGGTTTTTCTGCCACAGGATGCACTCCAAGGAATAAGTGCTTCTGAATATTGCTTTGTCCTGCTTGCCTGGGTTTTAGCTATGCTAGTGACTCCTTATATGCTGCTGCCTGACCAGGAGGAGATCAGGGGGAGGTCAGGAGTGGATGACGTCATGGGGAGTCATTGTGAAGCTTAGGCAAACTCATATGGATGCCAATTAACATGCATATGACTAATATTTTGTATACTTTTTATAAGAATATTGTTGCCTTGCCTAGAGTGAGATGTCATACAGGTTATGCCTTTTTACAATAATTTATACTTCTAAGATGAATTGCCATGTACAACTCCTGTTTTTAACCACTGCACTTTTAAAACTTTTAAGCTTTCTAAATAAAAAAAGACTACTTTTTTAACTGACATTTTCTTTTTTTCTAGTTTTGTTTTTTTCCTTTGAAGTAAACTTGACATGAAAAATACAATGCCATTTCCCTGAATGTGTGTGGTTTTAATACTTTTGACCCTTAACAAGTATGCAGTTTAGTAAAGTCGGAGTGAAGCTAGAAGTCTTCATCTGTACACTTGTTCAAGGTCATTGGCTCAGAGTAGTGAAGCAAGAGGACTGGGTTGACAGCAAGGCATTTTAGAAGGAAGGGCCAGAAATGGCACCATCCATTTTTCTCTAACTACAGATTTCTTTTAAGGTCCTGTCAACTCAGTTTAGATACTTTAGCTTTGGATGGAGGTGGTTTCAGTTATTTACATTTATATTTCTATAGGCTTTGAAATAGTGATCTGTCCTCTCAGTTCTGATATCTGCCTATTTAATACATCCACTACAAAAATGGTATGCTTCCTATTGGACCTTTTAAGCATTACAGATGCTGCAGCATAAGGAGTAAGACTCTTGTGGGAGTGTGGCAGGGGTGTAAAACCACAGACTGGCAGATAGATCTCATTCCAAAAATATTTACCACATTAGCATGCAATCCAACATGTTGGAATCTGTGCTAATCATTTAATGCTAAACATTTTGTTATTCTATCTGTTAGTGTACATTGATAAATTTATAATATAGACAACAAACAAAACTGGCAAACTTCCCACAGGTATTGGGCGATATACAATTTTCTAGGTCAACTATATTTTCTAGTTAACTAATTTGTCTTTTTATTCATAAAAATGTAAAGAACACACTCCAGTTTAAAAAAAAAAGTTTGTGAACTCTTGGTATTTTTGTTTGATTTTTTTTTGGAAATTGTTTTAAATGGGAGAAATGTATTCCCATTGCTGTAGAGAAATCTCCCATAAACATTAATGCTGTGGAACCCCTTGCACTTGCCAAACAGGTAATAAAGACCCTAGGATGCAATGTCAGATTACTAAATAGGCAAAGTGGGCATCTGTCTATGGGCTCCATGCTGTTTAAGAGCCCCGCGGCAACGAATCAATACAATATTGATTTGAAAATTACAAAGAAGTTTTCTGACATTGTTTACAAAAGATAGAAAAAATGCATCAACTCAAAGCAAAAACTTTACATTAAAGATTCTATTAAAAAACACTGTATTTATGTAATGTAACAATTTAAAGTACCTAAACCATATACGCCAGATTCAATTAACAGTTTGTCTCTTAAAAGCTCATCTTCTTTCAGCTATCAGTTTCTGAAAAAATTTTGGTGCAGTCTACCTATGTGTAATGTACAGTAGTGATCATCGTGTTCATCTAGCAGCTAATGTGCACACTATTTAGTGCAATGTTATCCCACTACAGCATGCGCATGAGAAACTTCCAGAAACCTGTGAGGGGGTCCCCAGGATTTGGCTGCCTAGGAGCCTCCCTAGAGTTTAATCTAGGATGACAGCTAAAATCTGTAGGTATCTCTTTCCATACATGGGTTCCATTGCTCTCCAAAAATAGAATTGCTGCCCATCTCAAATTTCTTAAAGATCACCTGGGTGTTCCATGTCATAAATGAAATTATTTTATATGGATAGATGAGACAAAAGCTGAACTTTCCGGTAATTGTACATGTTGTTATATGAACACATTGCTATATTTGGAGAAAACATTGCAGCACATAAAGTTTAGTCCAACTGTGAAGCCTGGTGGAAGAAGTATAATAGTTGCTTGAAGTTAAAAGAATAAAAAAGAAATACATTAATTAAGATTTACTTTCTTATATGGAATGTGTAGCAAACATAATTGTAACTATGCAATTGCCTTACATTCTTCATGAGAAGTCAAGGTATCTGGCTGACATTAGACATTGCTTAAACACTCACAGGTTCTAGAGCTTCTTTCTGAACACAATAAATATAGTTGGTTATGTGTCAGTTTTGTTGCTTTTTGTTCTTCTGTAGACTTGCTGGAGAGAAAGATCCTGCACCTGAGGAC